GCCAGATAATTCTGACTTGGAGCATAGCTGCGTTGAAAATGTTCACTGGTGTTGTGACTAGCTTCATCCAGTACATTGGGGGAGGAGAGAGGGCGAGAACCTCGGCAACCAATGCTGTGCGCAATACATTTCATGCTCTGAATTCATCAACTCAAATTGATCCCAGCCCTGCTAACAGACTGTAAACGTCAGCATTGCCTCCAGTCTAAAATAGTTATAGTTCAAAGTGTTCTCTCGTGGGCACAAGAAGTTTTGAAGGACACTATCTATAACTGTACTGATGGATATTTTTCACTTTATAGAATCTACTTTTCACTTGTACAGAAGTACTGGAGAGGTGAGGTAACATACACTACAGTATGTACGTTATACACCAGTATTTCTTCATTCTTTCATGGCACGTGGGCATCAATGGTTTGGCCGGCATTTATTTTCCATCTCTGACTTGTCTTTCAGTTCAATTAAGTCAGGTGTCACGTGGGACCAAACCTGTTAAGAGTGGTGGATTTAGTACAGTAATGAACCAAACAAGATCTCACTTTAACTCTATTTTATTAATTCAAATAGAAATTGAATTTAAATTCCACCATGTACAGTGGTAGGATTTGAACCCAAATCCCCAGGGCATGAACAAATACAGTCACTGGAAAGCTCAGCAGCATCTGAAAAAATAATCATTTAACGTTTCAGGTCCAGTGACCCTTCCTCAGAACTGTGGATGAACCTGGGCTGGCACATTGCTAGTCCATTGACAATGCCAGCACACTACTAAGACTGTTCAGTAATGTCCTATTGTCTGTAAAAAGTCATTCGTAATATAACATACGGATTTTTTTTTAAACTTTGTCAACTGAAATGCTGGAATCAGAACTTGACTTTCACCCACTTCTGTTTTCTTAAACCTTTCCTCCAGGTTTTGTCTCCTTTTCTGGAGATGCTCATTAGTACAGAGGATGCAAAAAAAAAATTGCTGGAGAAACTCAGCAGGTCTGGCAGCATCTGTGGAGAGAAAGCAGTTTTAATGTTTTGGGTCCAGTGACCCTTCTTCAGAACCCATTGTCCCAATTCCGAGGAAGGGTCACTGGACCCGAAACGTTAACACTGCTTTTTCTCCATAGACAGACCTGTTGAGTTTCTTCAGCAATTTGTTTTTATTTCAGAACTTCAGCATGCATTTTTTTTGTTGTTGACTACTGAGGGTGGATCCACAGTTGCTGAACTATTTTGTGAGAGAGATTAAACATTAGTGTTTACATTGCAGACTATGAGCCCAAGTGGCTATGAGCCCAAGGCTTAGCTGGTGAACCCCTCACCTAATGCATCTGTTTTCTAATCATTGTCAGGGATATTCAACTGAAGCAACCCTGTTTATTTACTTAATCCTAGAGAATACTGCCCAGTCACTTCAGAATGCTGAGATTATTTGTGGTGGTGTTTAACACCAAGTCCCTTTCACCTATTTGCCCTCCCCCACCTCACTATGTGTCCTGTGACTTTAGTTAGTTCTGGTCCAACAGCATCTCAGTTTTAAGATTGACAGCCCTTGTTTTCAAATTCCCCCAATGCCTCAACCCGTCCTTACAACATATAGCCTTCGAGCTCACTAGATATTTTTAATCAGTCTGTCCAGACATGCAAGGACATGCCTCTGGAGCAGATGGGACTTGAACATAGGCCTTCCAGTTCAAAAGGTAGGGACCAGAGTTCACTGTACCTTGTCTATTTTAATTAATTTAGCTGTCTAGCAATTTGAACTCTGAACAGCCTTCCTTAAGGATCTCTAACCCTCTCTCCTTTTTAAGATACTGCTTAAAACCAGTGTATTTGAAACCTTTGGTCATTTATCTGAATGTCTGTAAACTATGGTGCCAAGTTTTATTTTGTAATGCTCTTAAGAGGCACCTTGGGACATTATACTAAATAGAGATGCTAAATCAATACATATTGTTTTGAATCGTGTAACTAAGCCTTGTTCTGCTTGACTGAGCTACATCTTTCACTTACCAATTGGAGGTATGAGGGAAGCCTCAGTGAGTTTGAGTTCATGCGTGAAACAACTCCAGAGGCTGGAATCCTACCAAGTCACCCTTTATTTACATATGGAGTCCTTAACACTGATTCAGTTTCCTCAGTCACCTGTCAGGGTGACCAGAACCTGACACTCCTGTTTATATCAAGGAGCCCTGGCTCACAGATTGGACTAGATTAAGAGCCCCAGTCACCACATTCCTTCCCTTCCGAGTCCAAGCACATTGGCCAGTTCTTTTTATTAAAAATTATAGCTCCTCCTGCAGCATTTTAGTACCAGGTCACGTTCCTCCAACTCTGCCTCTGTAATGGGCAGCATGTGATGCACAGTAGCTTGCCTCTTGCACCTGGAGCATCTTGGAAGAAATTCATTCTCCTGTTCAGGCAGCTGAGGTTATGACATCCGCCCTGTCTGTCTCAGATTCAGATTGTACATAACTGGACTTGATGTTGCATCGATCCTCTCCTCTCGCTTAGGAGACTTGTGTATGGCTCTGGCTTTCCTTCCTTCCTCCTCCCACCACCACCACCACCACCTCTCTTTCTCTCTACCCCCCACCCTTTGATCACCCTCACTTTATCTTCCAATGGATATAACCAAGTCTCGTCGACTCTGTAGCCAAAGTAGGTCACGTGGGGTGCCTGGAACACACCATTTTTCCTTCTAAGGCATATGCCCACCTGGGGGAATTGTCAAAGGACTATGTTCGAGTTCTCCATGTGCTCCTTATTGTTCTGCCCTGTTATTAGCATGTCATCTAGATTAATGGCGACCTGGGGTAGACCTTCAAAATGTTCTCAATCATCCACTGAAAAATTGCACAAGCTGCCATGTGGGGTTATTGTCAGTGTCATATTGATACAAACCCTAAGGGGTATTAATTGTGGCATACTTCTGGGAATTCTTAGTTAACTGTAATTGCAAGTTTGCATGGCTCATGTCTGGCTTCGTGAAGGACAGCTAACCCCCTCCCCCTCCCCCTGCCAGCTTTGTGTTTAAATCCTGTGGGATTGGGTATTTATCCAGCTGCGAAAAGCAGTTTATCGTTTATTTTCAATCTCCACAAAGGCAAACTGACCCATTGGGGCTTCACAAAGCGGTACGACTGGTGTTACCCATTCTACAGTCTTGACTGGTTTGTCATTCCTTTGCTTTCCAGCCTTGATTTCTACCTCTATTTTTGCCTGTGGGCAAAAGGCATTGAGTGGAGCTTGCAGAATCACGGAATTGCTTACATGTCAACTTGCATTGTGGCCTCAGCTCCCTTGATAGTCCCTAGACCTTCTTGAAAAACCTTTTGGGTATTTTATTGGGACTTCACTCAGGCGTCCACTTTCTAATCACAAGATGTTGAGCCAATCTAGGTGAATCCTTCTCAATCAATCAGTTTCACCCCATCGAGTTTGGGCCCGAGCGTTTTACTGCAATCAGTGGCAACTGAACCAGCTGCTTCTCATAAGAGACCAGAACCGAAGTTGTACCCTTAATCTGTAAAATGTTCCCGATATGGGTTCTCAGTCTGGCCGAGGGCTTACTTGAACTTAAAAGGTTAGATTCCAGGGTGAATTTTATTTTAAAAAACTGGTCCTGTGATCACTGAAACTGTAGCACTGCTATCAACCTTCATTAGAACTGAATGACCATTTAACCAGATGTTTATTTTGATTGGTTCATTGTTGCTAAGCAATTTAATTGTTCCAGACCAGATACAGATGGACTTTGCAGAGTGTCCAATCTCCTGGATACCAGAGTATGAGCTCTCTTGCTCCATTTATATCTAATGGCACTCTCTTGTTCAAGCCCTCATACCAGCAGCAACTACAATGGCTTACTCAAGTGGTATTCCCTAAGCTCAGTTGGACTGGCAAGGGCATCCACTTCATTGGATTACCCTGCAACTCATATGCTCCTCTTACCACATTTTCCAATGATAAAGCCTGTATTGTGCCTGTTTGAAGTCTGGTTGGCTTCAGCTAGTTGTCACTTTTGCATGGTTGCATCATTAATCTCACATACCAAATGGTTTCTCAGCATCTCAATAGTTAATCCAAAGTCACATGCTGGTTGTCTTAACCTAGTTAAAAAACCCCAATTCAGATTCCCCTGGTTCTCAAATGGCCAAATGAGACCAATAGTGTCTCAGAATTAGAGGGGGCTTGGAGTTGTAATATTCTTTAACTAAATCCATCAATTCTTGAAAGGTTTTCATATCTGGTATCTCAGGGAAAGGAGGCTCCAAATAGCCAAGAAAGCAGTGGGTCCACAAGCAGACAGGAGAATTATTCATTGATTTTCATCTGCCCTGAGGTCATTTGGACAGACAAAAATAAACACATTTTTTCCGATACTGTCTTTGACAACAAGATCAAACTAGTCAAGCTTCCCAAATAAGAACATGGTGCCAGAAATGCTTATCCCAACTCAAAGCCAATTGTTGCAAGTGAATTTATTCAGGAACATGCTTTTCTCTGATTGCCACTGAAATAACTTCACAGAAGCCAATATCCTTTTCACTACATCACCCTTTGTTTACACTTGAAAAGTCCTTGCTATTGAGCCAGCTCCCAGTGAACAGAAGCTGTGACACTCCTGTATTTCTCTGGCTTCCTGCTTAGAGCTGTTAATCTGACCCAAGCAGGGAACTCATTCTATGAGCTCCACATGGCTGACCTCGTTACAATCACCATGGTATCCTATGGTTGCCCAGCATAGAATATCATTAACTCAATTAAATAACTCAATGTAAAAGTCAGCTAGGCTGCTCTATTTCATGAAGTGAACTTTGTGGTTCAAGAGGAGAATTGAGACATGCTAAATTTTTGAACTGTGCCTCTTTACCCAGAAAAATACAAGCATTTGAACATCCAGCTCTCAAAAGGTTCCAGGGAGTGTACAGAAAAGTTGCTGGAAATACAGGTGAGCAGGGCAGACAAATATACATGTTCCATTTAATCTTTTTTGTCACACATAGGGAGGAAACAATGCTGGCCACACTGTCGTAGTCGATTCAGTTGAATATGACTTTCACCTTTTACCCAGTGGAATCATCAATCCCAATGTAATTGCCTTCATTGGTAAGTTGTCAGATATATTTTGTCCACAGCAATAAATGTGAATTGCTTAATTATTCTGGATCAGTTAATAAGGACCTACAATAGCTTACAGGCACCATTGAAGGTTGTGTGTGCAAATACTGGTGTTAAATATAGATCAAACTTTGTTGTGACCTACCACAGAATTGCACTTTCACTAAAAGTCTTAGTTCTGTTGGTTGCATTTCCAATGCTTTTGTAATGTAAACCTCACTGGTTCTTTGGACAGCAGTTGAAACTTCTCACCCCTCCCATCCCCCTATATTTGTTTCTGTGTAGTTCTGTAACAGTCTACCAGAAATCTAGCTGAGTCGCACTTTCTCTGTTTAACTCTCACCCGCTTAGTGTGAAACACCAGTATAATGTTCTTTTTAAATTGGGCATGTGCTCCATGAATGCAAAACTACCGTGTAGATGGGACTTCTGATTTCTTACCTGGAGTTGTTCTGCTGCTTATATTTGTAAAGTAGTATGAGGGAATGTCAACACTCTATTCATGGTGAACTAATCCCCTGAGGCAGGCAGGGAACATTGGGCATGGACGGTGCAAAGCTGGTGTGTAGCGTATGGAGCTACACAGACCTACCTGCATCAGTTATAAAATTTCTAGCTGGTTATATTGTCCATTGGACAGTGGGGAGAAGTGGAGTCAGCAAACCTGGCAACAGTTTAAGGCCTATGTATTATAAAAAAAAGGTCTTCAACATCAATGATCAGAACAACTAACAAGTCTAATTAGAGTTGGTTGGTTTTCCAGAGACCCCTTATAGGCACAATGGACTAAATGGCTACTTCCTGTCCTGTAGAATTCTATAAAGCCCACATGATTTATTTCTTAACTATTTTTAAGAAAATGATATTGTTAAAACTGTTAAAGTTAATATTCAGAAAATTAGATTATATGGCTGTTTCTTTCAACTCAAATAAATATCTGCAGACAGAGCAGATCCTTTGACCAGCATTTTCTAAGGTTCGTAAACAAACTTCTGTGTTGCCACTGGGTTATAAGTATGCACTTTATGCACTGTAGGATTAATGGTATTTGGGCCAATGTACATACGTCACACTCAATAATTGATCATTTTAAATTGTTCCGACATGCTCCTTCTGCAATGACAAATCTCTAACCGACAATGCTTTGCTCTAAATTCACCATAGGTTGGAAAGATGAAGCACTTAATTGTTAACACAGATCGTTGTAATCAAAATCAGTTGAATGCGATACTGTCCATCAAAATCTTTCACACATCCAAGTGAAAATGCGCACTACCCTTTATGTTAAAGGCCTATATATTGAAGCTGTACACAATCGGGTCTGTAATCTGTATTGTGTATGTTAATAGTCTTATTAAGCTGATGGTGGGTGAGCTACAGGTATTTGAGTTTAGTGAGCTGTCCTGTGGTACTGTAGGTCTGCAGTCTCTTTCTTTAAGAATTTCAGTCCATGTTTCTTTGCAAAGAAAGGCTGTTTACATAGTTAGCATGGTTCCCAATTTCAGCAGATGTAGATATTTTCAAGCAACCTGGTGCAGCTAGAATTTGAACTCTGGTCTTCTGGCCAAGAAGTAGTGACACTGCACCATAAGAGCCTAACAGAAAAGGGTCTTTGTCTATGGATGGTCTCGAACTACCATAGACAATTAGCGGCTGAATGTGATAACCAATTATGTCACAGAGACCGATCCATTACATGTGATGTATGTTGGGGTAAATAATTAATTTGTTACTTGATTTGATTATGACAGTGTAATTTAGTGACACGTGGCCACCTGTATCTTAGTTTCTTTTTAGTTAATCAGTTTGGAATTCTAATGGCATTTATTCAGAATTGCAGTGTTTGGATTGCAATCTTAACACCTGAAACTAAACCTGCGTAGCAAAATAATGGGTGGTGGGAAAATAACTTCTTGTTTGTTCATGGTTTGTAGTTGTCAATGGCTAGGCCAGCATTTATTGCCCTCATTGCCCTGAAGAAGGTGGCGGTGAGCTGCCACCTTGAACCATTGCAGTTCTTGGAGTGTAGGGACATCCCTGGTGCTGTTAGTTCCAGGTTTTTGACCCAGTGTTCGTGAAGACAATAAACAGCATAGCTCCATATTGCGGTTTGTGTGTGTTTGTATTTTATTACTGCATTTTTCCACTATTTAAAAGCCAGCACCAGAAAAGCAAGCCATACAAGCCACTCCTAGTATGAGCTTGGTAGTGAAAGAGCCATTTGAGTTTCATTTATTGACTGCTACTTGAAAATTCAACTTTGAGTTCCAGGTACTTCATTAATTTACAATAAATCAAACAATTCCACTAATGATCATAGGCAAACAGAATCAAAATATAGGGAGAGAAGTTATACCAAATTTCATTGTCAACCACTGGCTGCTTCTATAAAGCCCAATCAAGAAATCTGACCAGTGGGTTATTCTAAGAGATTGTGGTGACTGTGCATCCTTCGTGTATATGATTAACATTTTCTGCTTCGCTAATAACTTGGCCAGAATTAATAAAGCTCACCTTCAAAGGATGTCCAGCCATCATTGCCATTTGAATTGGACATGGGTTTCTGCATTCAGCAGCATTATTTACACCAAGTCTACTTTTATTCCTTTTCATTTTCGTTTTATCCGTTTATTTTATCATGTGTATTTTCACTTTTAGGAGGGCTATTGTTTTCTTTATTAGCTAACTGTTTGTGTTCTGTAGGTAATGGAGTGGTCATTCATCTACCAGGTCTCTTTGAAGAAGCCGCAAAAAATGAGAAGAAGGGAAATGGTTAGTACAGTAGGTTTCAGACTGATCTGGGAGTTGAAGTGTATTGATACTGCTGGCTATGAGAAAACAGCAATGTGGTTACTGTCAGTTCAGTGTTTGCAGAAGCTGCTCATCTCTTAAACAGTACCTTTCCATATTTTTGCAGGAACCTCATCTTTTGAAATTTGAGATTGTTTGCTGTTTTTCTTTGATTTTTCTGTCGTCTTCAGTTAAAATATCTACCCGCTTTGACTATGTAGTGTATCAATGTTCTCTGATATTTTGTTCACACTATGGCTGTTTATTACATTAATCATGATACTCTGACCGTTTTTCCCCTATATCCCCTCTACAGCATCAGTCTCCTTTTTAGTTACCCAATTGATTTGTTTTTGTCTTCCTAGTGCCATGATTTCCATAATGTCAAAGCTTGTCAGGCAAAGTAATTAATTATAGACTTTTTTTCGTCACTGTCTTGAATCAAATTTTATGTCTGCTGGTCTTGAGTCATTAATATACAGAATTTAAGACTATTGTGATGGGGAAAACTCACTTCACACTCACAAAAAAAGGATAATTTGCACTTTTAAACCAGATAGTTTCACAATAACTAGACTTAAGATGGATGTCATCTTTCCATGCTAGCAAACAATGAGAAGGACAATGGAACATGGTGTCTGGGAGAAAGTGGATCCATTGAAGACTAGTTTAAGTGTAAACATATCTCATTGCAATTAGACCGAAGTGGTGGTTTAATTTCATATTAAAAATGAAGCAGATTGTTTAAAATGTTTACATGTTGAATAAAACGTCATAGAAAATTTAATGTTTCCCATGACTGAATTGTTAAAGGTACAGTTCATAGGAAAATGTTAATATGAGCCAACTTAACACATTGAGTGTTCAAGGAATGCCTGTAGAATAAAATAACTCCCATTGTGTTTTTGTGTCGATTTCTGATGAGATTTAAATTGACAATGTTATTCATGTTCAGTATTGTTTGTGAATTTTGTGGATTAATTGCCACATTCAAAAGGCCTATTGCTTATGAGAATGTGTTTTTATTTTTAAAAATTGCATCAACACCAATTTTATTTTTATTGATTTCAAGTATCCAGGTTTCCTAAATAATCTTCCATGTGCAATGTACAGTATTTAACAGGCAGTTGTTAATCCTGGGCATCTTATTCCACATATGATATGTACGAAGGCCCGTATTTCATATCATGGGGTTCTTGTTCCATCTGTAGAGGCAACTAGAGATTGGGCGAAAGACCTAGCGAAAAAAAATCTCCTTATTCAGAGTTCCCTTTCTAGGTGAAAAGGCATCCCCTTGCCAATTTTCTTCACAATTTTAAACACCCTAAAACTGATGGCCTCTTCATTGCCTTACTTCCAGGCAAATTACCCAGTCTGTCATTACACCGTTGTCTTTGTATCCAAGATATTGTCTAATTGGATAATTGCTAGAGTCCTGTGGACACACGATAGGAACCAGAGTAGGCCATTCGCTGTTTAAACCTGCTGTGCTATTCAATTAAATTTGGGCTGATCTGTTTTTTTCCCCAACGTTCCACAATCCCATCTTCCCCATAATCTTTAATTCCCTTGCCTGACAAGAATAGAGGATATGTAGCTGACTTTAACTGTTTTATATCTTGCTGCTAATGTCCTGGAAAACTCTAGACATAAAGTTAAAACCTTGATCAGATTGTTTCTGAATTACTAGTCATAAGAAGTAAACAAAACGGTTAACTTTTTTCCTATTATTTTAGCTGTAATAGTCCTTTAAGGGATAACTCTGGAAATTGAGTTGTCATATTCATAAAGGTAAAAGTATACTGATGTCTTTTTGCTTTTAATAATATTTCTTCACATTCTACCAACAGCTGACTAAGTGGTTCTTAAAAATATGGTCTAAGTATCAGAGATGCTGGTTTAATTATTTGTTGAGGTCTTCCTATGACCTGACATGTATAATATGTTTTACAGAATTGGACCACATCTTTGTGAAGTCTTCGCCTTCTAAAATACCTCTTTATCAGTGCTTGCCTTTCATCACTTCCCGTGTCCTGACACGGGAAATTCATTTGCTACTTGTAATATCTCCTTATGATATCGAGGCAAGACAACAATTTGATAAACAACCGTCCATTTTTCAGCTGCAGGTCTATGAGGATGTCTCTGTTTCATCAACAGAGCTCCATATTTAATATAACAGCACTATGGAAGTCCTTCAGCTTCAACTTCAGTGTGAACTGTCTGTACCAAATTATTTAACTCTGGATCTGTTTCTTGAGCCTCAATTAATGAAGACATGCCAACAGTTCTTTTGCATTGTCCTCAGTCCTAAATGTATTTTTGACTCCCTTGACATTTGTGTGCGATATTAGTGTCACTAGTGATGATTAACTTTATTTAGCCATTTCTCTAGTCACCGGACACGATGGAAAGATACTCAACCTGTTTTTGCAAGGCATTCTTTTCAGCATCATTTGAACTTTCCATGATTATATCTGAAGGTATAATTTTCACTCCAGCCAAATCATTCCCCAGGAGTAAATCCACACTGTCCATGGGTAATATCTTAACTATGCCAACTACCTCTAGTCCAAATCATAAGTTACATTTCAGTTGGACTTTGTATGATACAATATAGAGGATATAGCCTCTACTTATCCCGTTTACTGACAGTTTAACTTTCATTGAACTTTATGGAGAGAAAACCAAATCCTTCTCCAGGAAGAGAGTTTGAGCATCACTTGTATCCCTTAGTACAGTTATAGTTATATTGCTTGGAGCCACAGAGATCTGCAGCACAAAAAAGGCCCTTTAGCACATCATGTCCATGTTGGTCAAAAAAAAACACCTAACTATTTTCTAGCACTTGGCCTGTAGCCTCATATGCTTTGGCATTGCAAGTGCATATCTAAGAACAATTTAAATCTTGAGGGTTTCTGCCTCTACCACCCTTTCAGGCAGTGAATTCCAAATTTCCACCATCACCTGTTGGGGGAGAAAAGGTTTTCCTCATATCTCCTCTAAACCTTCTGTCCCTTCCCTTAAATATATGCCCCCTGATCATTGATCTCTCCAACAATGGGAAAAGTTTCTTCCAGTCTACCCTGCATCACTGTTTAGAGCAAAGCCCTTTATCTCTCTTAGGTACCCTATGTACCTCTCCAGGACTCATGGCAGTATTTATCCCCAATCGCATACTTGTAGATACAGCTACAATTTGATCTATGGTAGTTCTCTTTTCTGACTAATTCTTATGTACGCCAATAAGTCCCATAGTTTTCCTCTCAAATTCAAGCATTCTGAATGAGTGTTTCCCACTTTGCTACAGCAGAAACACTTCAAACTTTGATTTTCACCTCCACTCTACTTTTTCTTCTGACCTGTGGAGGAATTCTTGGGGCATTCCCAGTGATCTATTCTTTACTCCTTCCTTTCACCTTCCCACTTTCGATCCCTTTCAAATTTTTGCGGGTGATGCAGAAATCATTCAGTTTTATGGATCAGCTCATAATCATGAACCCCAGTATGGGTTGTTACAAAGAACAAAGAAAATTACAGCGCAGGAACAGGCCCTTCAGCCCTCCGAGCCTGCGCCGATCCAGATCCTCTATCTAAACCTGTTGCCTATTTTCCAAGGATCTGGATCCCTCTGCTCCCTGCCCATTCATGTATCTGTCTAGATACATCTTAAATGACGCTATCGTGCCTGCCTCTACCACCTCCGCTGGCAACGCGTTCCAGGCACCCACCACCCTCTGCGTAAAGAACTTTCCACGCATATCTCCCTTAAACTTTTCCCCTCTCACCTTGAAATTGTGACCCTTACTAATTGAGTCCCCCACTCTGGGAAAAAGCTTCTTGCTATCCACCCTGTCTATACCTCTCATGATTTTGTAGACCTCAATCAGGTTCCCCCTCAACCTCCGTCTTTCTAACGTAAATAATCCTAATCTATTCAACCTCTCTTCATAGCTAGCGCCCTCCATACCAGGCAACATCCTGGTGAACCTCCTCTGCACTCTCCCCAAAGCATCCCCATCCTTTTCGTAATGTGGCGACCAGAACTGTATGCAGTATTCCAAATGTGGTCGAACCAAAGTCCTATACAACTGTAACGTGACCTGCCAACTCTTGTACTCAGTACCCTGTCCGATGAATGAAAGCATGCCGTGTGCCTTCTTGACCACTCTATCGACCTGCGTTGCCACCTTCAGGATACAGTGGACCTGAACACCCAGATCTCTCTGTGCATCAATTTTCCCCAGGGCTTTTCCATTTACCGTATAGTTGGCTCTTGAATTGGATCTTCCAAAATGCATCACCTCTCATTTGCCTGGATTGAACTCCATCTGCCATTTCTCCGCCCAACTCACCAATCTATCTATATTCTGCTGCATTCTCCGACAGTCCCCTTCACTTTCTGCTACTCCACCAATCTTGGTGTCATCTGCAAACTTACTAATCAGACCATCTATACCTTCCTCCAGATCATTTATGTATATCACAAACAACAGTGGTCCCAACACAGATCCCTGTGGAACACCACTGGTCACAGTTCTCCATTTTGAGAAACTCCCTTCCACTACAACTCTCTGTCTCCTGTTGCCCAGCCAGTTCTCTATCCATCTAGCCAGTACACCCTGGATCCCATGCGACTTCACTTTCTCCATCAGCCTACCATGGGGAACCTTATCAAATGCCTTACTGAAGTCCATGTATATGACATCTACAGCCCTTCCCTCATCTATCAACTTTGTCACTTCCTCAAAGAATTCTATCAAGTTGGTAAGACATGACCTTCCCTGCACAAAACCATGCTGCCAATCACTAATAAGCCCATTTTCTTCCAAATGTAAATAGATCCTATCCCTCAGTATCTTCTCCAGCAGCTTCCCCACCACTGATGTCAGGCTCACCGGTCTGTAATTACCTGGATTATCCTTGCTACCCTTCTTAAACAAGGGGACAACATTAGCAATTCTCCAGTCCTCCGGGACCTCACCCGTGCTCAAGGATGCTGCAAAGATATCTGTTAAGGCCCCATCTATTTCCTCCCTCGATTCCCTCAGTAACCTGGGTTAGATCCCATCTGGACCTGGGGACTTGTCCAACCTAATGCCTTTTAGAATACCCAACACTCCCCCCACCCCACCATGCTGACTTGACCTAGAGTAATCAAACATCTACCCCTAACCTCAATATCTGTCATGTCCCTCTCCTCGTGAATACCGACGCAAAGTACTCATTAAGAATCTCACTCATTTTCTCTGACTCCTCGCATAACTTCCCTCCTTTGCCCTTGAGTGGGCCAATCCTTTCTCTGGTTACCCTCTTGCTCCTTATGTACGAATAAAAGACTTTGGGATTTTCCTTAACCCTGTTTGCTAAAGATATTTCATGACCCCTTTTAGCCCTCTTAATTCCTCGTTTCAGATTGGTCCTACTTTCCCGATATTCTTCCAAAGCTTCATCTGTTTTCAGTCACCTGGACCTTATGTATGCTTCTTTTTTCCTCTTTGCAGAAGGTAGTGAGTCTTCAAATTCCTCAGAGAATAATCTCTCTAAGAACTTCACACATTTCAGTTTCTAAAGTGTCTATCCACTTATCAAAATTACTTTGCTTAACTCTTTCAAATTCAGTTTAGGTTTGAAAATTCCAGAACTTTTGCCTATAAACCTCAGGAACTAAAATAAAGCAAAGAACTGCGAATTCTGAGATCTGAAGCAAAAACAGAAATTGTTGGAGAAACTCAGCAGGTCTGGCAGCATCTGTGGGAAGAAAGCAGAGTTAGTGTTTCAACTTGAATCTGCTGGGTTTCTCCAGCAATTTCTGTTTTTGACTCAGGAAGTAACTCCTATGCAGTCAATGTAGCTTTTTTTATGGCGTCATAATCCCTAAAACTACCTCTGACAATGAAGTGTAAATTTCCTTTGCTTTCTGTTAACGTACTCTGCATGAGCAAAGTCCAGGCTCCGTTTGGCAAACTCACTTATTTTCTCAATAAGCGTAAAAAATGCTTCCCCATCCTTTTCCTCACATTTTGACAGGACCTGTACAAATTCAAAGATTTTGTTTCTGGACTTTAGATTGTAACTCTGATTCACCTCCTCAGAGTCTTCATCAACGTTTGTTGTCATCTTTTTGTCTACACAAAACATTTTATGAGGAATAATTCATGTTCTCGGTCTCTCATCTTCCCTTTGTTTTGCGATTCTAATTTTATTCCATTTCCTGTCTTTTTTAATTCTGTCTCTTTCTTTATCATTTCCTCCCTTTTTGGAATTCAGTCTCCAGCTTCTTCATCGTTTCTTTATGCTCAAGCTGGTCAGTCAGCTCAGATGGCTGGACAGTTAGTTTGCCATGCAGAGTGATGCCACCACCAGCATCAATTCCAGCACTGGCTGAGGTTACTATGAAGGACTCTCCTTCTCCACCTCTCCCCTCACCTGAGACATGGTGATCCTCAGGTTAAACCACCACCAGTTGTTTCTCTATGGTCTGGTAGGACTATGGCAATTTAACTTTGAAGCTGCAACCATAACTGAATATCACCTGATCCTGGTGTTTCACTACTTGGAGTTATCTGGTCTGTTCTGTATTTCTACTGAACTTACATCCTGTGTTAGAACTTCAATTATATCTGCTCTATTAGCTTTATCAGGCAAAGCCACCGCCAGCTTGCATGCCAATTCAAGTAACCTGTTTTTGGACATTCACTTCATATTGTCAAGGACAACTCTGCCATCTGCAGGAAATCATTTACAACATTCAGTGCTATTTCTTACTAATACCACACACAAAACACCCAACCCACTCTGTTTCAAAATGATCCTGGATCAACCACAATCTCTTGTAACAACTCACTTTGGAAAGTCCTGATTCTCAAGCTCTACTACTCCCAGAGTCTTCCAATTTACCTGTTTGTTGGAATCAAATTAACAAACTACTGACTAGGTTCCTATACTTTTTCTTAAAAGTAAGTAAATTCTAATCACAAGTAAACAGCTATGAACTGTCAACATAAAGCTCTACTAGTTAAAACTCTAAGCCTCCCCCCTCTTTAAAAACTTCTATAGGTTCACAGACAAGTATAATGCAAACAAAAAACAAATTGGTTTCTGGGTGGTTTGAAATTAAAACCTTGGAACTACAATTCACTAACACTAGCTCACATGGTTTATTGGGATGATCGTTTTGCTTTTCTTCTTTATTCCTTCACTGGATGCGGGCTTCGCTGGCTAGGCAGCATTTATTGCCCGTTCCTAATTGCCCAGAGGGCACTTAAGAGTCAACCACATTACTGTGGGTCTGAAGTCACATGTAGGTCAGACCAGGTAAGGATGGCAATTTCCTTCCCCTGAAGGGCATTAGTGAACCAGCTGGGTTGGACTTTGTTCTTCAGTTTCCTTTCTCTGGGTCTTTTCACTTTTTGCAGGAGGCATTGAGTGATCGGTACACTAGCTGTTGGTTAAAGACAGCAGATTACAGCAAATAGTGGGGAAAAAATATAGCTTTCTTAGGTTTCATTATTTTACTGCCAAGAGAAATACACCATCTGCAGTTCCAGCAGTCTGAAGGCTTCTCAGTTTTGTTCACACTACAAGCTGTTCGGCTGCCCAGGTACCAATCAGTTGTCGTCAGGCTGATGTTATTTCGCTACTATGACTGGTCACATTGCACAAACCAATCAGCTACTTGTTGCTGCCCAATGCCACATACAAACAGCTTCCCCTACTGCTTGAATAAAGCAGTGTGAGTAACTTGCATGCAGTTTCAGTAAACATTTCTTAGAAGTGCAGCAATTCCTCCACAGACTTTGGTTTTAAACAGTCCTTTTCTCCACAAATAAAAATGCAGAAAATAACATGATATGGTCTTGGCTATCCAACCCGTCACGTGTTTTGATATAGCTTTCCGATCAGCTCTGTTTCCTCATCACCCTGTATTTTTTCCCCCCTCAACTATTTATCTAAAACGTTTAGCTGGGGCAAAGCATTAAAGGCTCGCCATGATTAAGTTGGTAACTACAGCATGTAAATGTAAGATGATGTGAATGAAGGAAGAGGCTAAGAACTTTATATTCAGTAACAATGGTGGAGGCAGAATCCACACATTTTTAAAAGGAAAGTGGATAATTATTTGAAAGCTAACGATTTAAGAGGGAATGGGGCTAAATGGATTGCTCTTTCAGGGCATTGACAAGGTGGACTTAATGGGCCTTCTTTGCTGTAGAATTTTGAGGTTAGGTCTCAAATTGGCTGAGTTGATAACACCACCTTGTTTAGGTCTGAAAGTTGAAGACTCAAAACTAGTCTAGGATGTGAATGTTCTCGTGTAGTACTGAGGGAGTGCATTCTGAAGTGCTGACTTCAAATTAGTTTTCTTTAAAAACTATCTATTACCTGTGCATTGAGATGACAATCAAAGCAAAGAGTCTCTATTTCTTTAATATTTCATCATCACCCAGAATCTCGCTGATGTTTATGGACTTCAGTGAACCAGGATTTTCACCAGGTTTGATTAATAGTTAATAAAAACCAAAAGAACTGCAGATGCTGTAAATCAGGAACAAAAACAGAAGTTGCTGGAAAACCTCAGCTGGTCTGGCAGCATCTGTGAAGAAAAGAAATCAGAGTTAACGATTTGAGTCTGGTGGCCCTTCCTCAGAACCCCAAAACATTAACTCTGATTTTTTTTCTTCACAGATGCTGCCAGACCAGCTGAGGTTTTCCAACAATTTCTGTTTTTGTTTGATTAATAGTCACTGTTTCCGAAAGGAATTTACCATGTGCAGCACTTATGGGTATTGTGCCACATGAATAAAGATTTTCCTTCTTTGCCATTTTTATTAAGTGTAATAACTTTTTGTTTATCTTCAGGTCTTCAAGATTGGGAGAATAGACTGATCATTTCAGACAGAGCTCATATTGGTAAGTTGAATTATAACTATTAAAATGTTCACTGAAAACCGAACTCCTCTTGCTTTTTATGTAGGCTGCATTACCTTGCTACTCCTTCCACAGTTTGAGCTTACACAACACTTTCTATGCCCAGTGAAAACATTTAATTTCCAACTGTGATGGTGGATATTGTTATCTCTTTCCCCTCTTTGCTCAATTTTTTTTTTTATTTCCTTGAAAAAAATCCACAGCTTATTACGAAACACAGCTCATCTGTTTTTGTAACCTCCAGTAAAAGATTGTGATTGGATGCTGTATAATAGCACCTGCATTTGAACCTTCAGAAAATCCCTTCCCCTTGTGTCAGTCGCAAATTTAGCTGTGAACTGAAGCTGCTTAATTGTTTTCACAGTGTAATGGGCTCACAGTGCAAACTAAATCAGCAAAAACAAAATGTTAATATGTTGGAAGTCTGAAGGAGGACAAGAATGCTGCAAATATTCACTCAGGAAGTCTGGCAACATGTATGGAGAAAGTTTTTTAAAAAAAAGTTGATATTTCAAGTTTGTGAACTTTGATCAGAACGGGGACCAGAGTAGTTCAGCAGACACATTGAGAAAATAAAGTCATCAAGATTTCCACTGGAAACTACAATGTTATTTACTTGATGTAAAGTTTATCAGCTATATTATTACAGGATTTTCATGCCGTTGCATGTTAAATACATATCACAATCTGGTTAGTTGCATAAAGTCTGCCTAGAGCCTGGATTGTTCAGGATTCAGGATCTGACCTACTTTGATCAGAATTAGTACCTCGCCCAAAAAAAATCTTAGAGGTTTATTTTGACAGAACTGCAAGAGATAGTATTAAAAGTGGTGGGGAAACCCAGACGGTCTGACAGCATCAAGCACCGAAGAGTTGTGTTATAGTGGATTTGAAACATCAACTCAGTTTCTGTCTGCACAAATGCTGCCAGATGTGCTGAGTTTCTCCAACACTTTTTAATTATCTTATTTTTCAAGTACCTGCAGTGCTCTGCTTTTATGCAAGAGACAGTATTGGTTGAAGTGAATTACTGTATACGAATCTAAATGCCAAAGAAAGAGCCACAAACATATTGTTCTTTGTTGTTGAAACCATGAACATAAATTATTGGTAATATTAATATGCTGTAATATTGGTGAAAGGTTAACTGTAAGTATTTCTATCTCTTTAAATGTGTAATAGATTGAAGGGTATACTGAAAGGATGTATGCAAATGAAGATTGTAACCTCCTAGATCATTGTGTTTGGACACAGTACAGATACTAACAGGTTGATTTTTTTGAGAGTAGTCAAGGCAAGAATACTTGGAACAATTTGTGTATTATTGTACATCAGTTAATGAGTGCAGCAAGATCAAGCCTTTATCTGTTTCTTTTTAAGTGTTTGATTTCCACCAAGCTGCTGATGGTGCTCAGGAGCAACAGAGGCAACAACAAGCAGGAAAAAAGTAAGGATTTACATGTTTCCAGGGAAATGTTTTTAGCATTTCTCTAAAGTAGAATTTGATAACTCATAGCTTTCATAATAAATGGTATCTTTCACACTAAAAGGAACCATTTGGTCTCTTCTATTCAAAGCTGGGTCTTTGCAATAGCATTACTTGTGTATTAGCATTAAACCTAGTGATTAGTGACATGACTTTTTTGACTCTTCCAATAATAATTCTAGCTTTTTGAATTGCCAAAGCTTAACCTATGTTGACTAAGAAGTGACTCCCCTGAACCTAGGAATGCATCAACAATGATGTGTTGTAAAACCTTACAGCACACAAGGAGACTATTTCGACCATCTTTCTATGCAGTAGATAAAACCTATAACTTCAAATTCCTACTTTACCCACCACCATGCCTACTTACCTCGTAGATTGGGAGCTTGTTATTATGTTTCTTAAAATATTAAATTAGCATTTAAGCATTTCATGGTGCCACGTACACATAGTGGGCTACATTATGTTTTTAATACATTAAAGAATCTGATGATATTGGTAATTCAAATTGTATGATGTACCATGCACTCATGATATACTATTTGGTTGTTACTGTATAACTGTGTTCCTGTGTGATCCCAAGGTTAGTGTTGAGTAAATACAGTCTCCTGTAACTGAGAATTTAATTGTTTTTGTTCAGGGACTTTTTAGATTAGAAAATACATGGAAATTTCAGACTCCAAGTCAGTGACTCCTTTTTTGGGTTAAATAAAAATAGCCTTAAATTAAAAGATTATGCATAAATGGGTATGGGGGCAGATGCAGCAACTAATTAGAGCAGCAGGTACGCTGTGGTATTGAAGAGGTGAGTTGAGGTCACATTTAGTCTTTGGGTTCTAGAGTCAGAAAACAATTAGCCCAGATGTAAGCTAATTTCCATATTAAAGTTACATCATATTATCTTTGTATAACTCAGAAAAGGAATAAACAAAAGTTGAGAAGAAATTTATGCAAAATCTTTTGCACCCTTTTGTGCTTTAAGTAATGCTGACCATTTTTTTAAAAAATAGTAAATTAGAGCCTTTTAAATCTGCATACTTCTACCTCATCGCAGCTTTCAGTGGCAAGTCGTTGTTTGTTTCTGATTACACAGATATATGTAGACATTTGATTTGGAGATGCCAGAGTTGGACTGGGGTGGACAAAGTCAGAAGTCACACGACAGCAGGTTATAGTCCAATAGATTTATTTGAAACCACAAGCTTTCAGAGCACTGTTGGACAATAATCTGGTGTCGTGTGATTTCTGTCTTTGTAGACGTTTGAAACAGAGCCATTTAGTTTGTTCCTTTAGAACTGCAGTTATGTAAGGATTTATTTATAATGACCCCCACTTGTGTTTAGCTGAATTGAAATTCTGTTTTTTTTTAGATTGACCTAACAATAATGTTCATGGCATTAAGCTGGAAACTATTGTTGGCTCTTGTGCCTTTCTTTAAACTATTTTTTTCCTAATCAGAGATGTTATTACACATCTCTGGAACACGTGGGACTTGAACCCAGTCATCCCAGTCATCCCAGTCCAGGGGTAGGGAAGCTGTCACTGCACCACAAGAGGGCCCCATCTAAACGTAAAATGCCATTATGTTTTCCACGGTGTTTAAAATCATGACTTTTTCTACATATTAACAACACACTATGGCTGATTTGATTTTTAACTAGCACTTGTCTATTTTTACTTTTTTAAAATTTTAATCATTTTGTTTTAATTTTAACCATTTCAATGCATGTTAACAGAAACCATTTTGTTTCCAGTGGTCATCTACTTAATTAGATACGTAGATTAAACAATTATTGACTGCTTAATCAAATAAAATGTATGTTTCAAATTTATTGATTTATTATTTATTTTTATAGCTTGGGCACCACAAAGAAGGGGATCGGACCAGTGTATTCTTCAAAAGCATCTCGAAGTGGGCTTAGGATATGTGATCTTCTGACTGATTTTGATTCCTTTTCAGAAAGGTATTTGAATGTGCTAATGTTCCATGTTCTTGTTCACCTAACCAGCTAGATATCTGTTTGTTTCATCCACTTTTAAACTATTGATTACTGGTTGAACTTGCTTTCTTCTGCTGGCCCGGTATGGTTACTTCTGTTACTCAAGCTCACAAATTACAGCTTCCACTTCTCATTCATTATTACTGATATTTTCTGTGTGCTGATGTCTGATATTTTAGCCCATTTTGCATGCTGTTTCAGTAGATAATTACTAAGTAGTAACCAAGGATTTAAAACATACAATAGTCAAAAAAAACTTGTACATTCTGATTTTGCTGTTGCCATTTTACAAACACCTACACAAATAAGTTAAAGTGCATATGCTTATACCATGTGAATAACGGGCTCTTGTGGTACAGTGGTAGTATCTCTACCTCTGAGCCAGTAAGCCTGGGTTCATAACCCATCTGTTCCAGAGATGTATGATATCCCAGAACAGGTTGATTAGAAACTAATATACCATGTGAATATAACTACTGAGATCACATTATAAATGGCATTGTCTGTTACTCATTTCTTCATTTACTAATCAGAAATGCAATTAACCAAATAAGACTTCCTGTTGCTTTGTGGCTAATGGTTAACTCAGTGGGCAGCACTGCTGTAGATGTTGCCAGTAAGGAAAGCAAGTAAACTTTTTTGCAAAGATGAAGACCCATAAGATTAGAGTCAAAATTGGTTTTACAATTCTGTTTTCAAGGTGACCATTGTAAGCGAGACTGATGACATCAACCACAACATAGTCTCAAAATTAGCTGATGAGTAAGGAGATGGCAGATTTCAATGTGAATTTTACACACACAAACAGTAAACCTGAACCATGCAGAAGGAACCTGCCAACAAAGCTATGAAGGGATTTAAATAATTACTGATCACTAAGCATAATATTAGCCCTGCTGACAACAAAGCTAACCTAAACGTGCATGAAATTTTGCTTATCGATCAAAACAAATTAGCATATAGGTGTATCATTATGATAAGGACATTCTGAAAAATACAGAGAGGGCTGAAGGTACGTTTAGGTCACAGGAATAAACACCGACTCCCAAAACTAATTATGCTTTCAGATAAAGGAGGCTTAAGTTGTCTAAACATTTGTGACTTGTTTTAAAGACTGTCCTTTTTGTACACTGTTTATGATAATCTGCCACTTTTATATTTACCTGATGTTGTAAGGTCCTGACGAATAGATTCTTGATCACTCAGCAAAGCAGGAAAGGGCAGGAAAGTGGACCTTGAGGAATGTCTGGTCACCCATAATACTCTTGAATGATGGAGCAGATTCAAGGGCCAAACAGCCTGCCCCTGTTCTACTACTTATGGTCTTGTTTAGTCTGTAAGAGCTCCCTCTATTGGGCACTGATCACTTTATCTGTGTGTGAATGACAACAAAATTGAAAATGTTCAATTGCTCCTTGATCTTTAAATGTGGCTTTCCGCCAACACACATACTTTGTTTGGTCATTTAACAGCACAAATTGATCACAACAAGGTGCCCAGTAATCAAGCTTCAGTTTTCCTGTAACCAAATTTTAGGTTTTTTGGTATTTGAATAGTGTATGTCCTTGAATTAGATGTTTTGTTTCTGGCAAAACTAATGTATAAACAAAATTGACTCATGTAATATGGTGTTATGTATTTTGAAGTGTCACCCATTCCACTACACATATATGCTACCGTATCTGAAACTGCAATGTGTCTGAAACACCAAATCACAAATCAGATTAGTTATTCATCTCAGTGGTGCAATGATGTCAGCATTATGTAGTTGCCACGTTTCTCTGCATAACCTTCAACAATCCATGTATGTGAGATGCTGTGAGACATTTTAATATGATAAGGTACCACATAAGCTTAAATATTTCATTTTTTTTCCCCTCCATTCCCCACCACATATATACACAAGTACATAAAAAACACAAATATTGTTTCTATATTTGACAGGAGATGTAAGTGATTAAACACAGTGTGTGTTACTGGTATTCCTGCTGTTAAATTAATATATTGAATTATCTGGAAACATCAGATGTCAAAGATATTCAATCAAGCTTCACTTGGGAATGAATCTCTGACGTGATACAATTCCGACATTCATTTAAAAAGAGTAATTATTGTTTTTAATTATTTGAGTCTACATTACCCTTTTAATCGTAGCCAGATCATCTCCAGTGATATTTTCTTTTCCCACTCTTGCACTGCCACTTCTGAAGTGCCACCTGGATCCAACCTCAGTCACATCCCTTTCCTTACCTACATGGTATATGTTGGTAACATTATGACTTAAATCTTGTACATCCATCCTTACCCATGTTCCAGTAAATTGTAGTGCATGCAGTAGCCCAGCAAGCGCACTGCAGGCTGCTCACCAGTTGTCCACTTTAAGAACCACATGCAACAAAAAGAAACAAAGTTACTGTGCACTGAAATGGACAGACTCCACATAATAAAGATTGGGGTAGGGGTGACAAATGTTTTGACTCGACCTTACTCCATTACCATGCTCTACCATCAGTGATGCTGGAAAGCTGAAATAAGAAAAACAGAAAACACTGGTAAATATTCAACAGGTCAGATAGCACTATGTTCAGGGGCAAGTGTAGTGAACATATTTTCTGATGGAAGATCATTGACTTGAAATCTTGTCTTCCCCTTTTCTGAGAATGCTGTTTCCAATGCTTTTTCTGCTTTTAGTAATTGGTGGCATTTGCAAGATAATTAGGCAGGATTATCCTCTTTCACATAGACTAGTTTTTTATGTTTTTAATTGTAAGTGAAGTGAAATGTAAAAGTAGGGATCTTTTGCTGTGGTTGTATGGGGCATTGGTGAGACCACATCATAAGTGTTATGCACAGTTGTGGTCTCTTTATTTGAGAAACAAAATAAATGTATCGGGTGTAGTTCAGAGAAAGTTTGCCTTACTGATACTTAGGATGTGGGTACAGTTATCTTAGGGAAGGTTGGGCAGGCAGAGCTTTATCCTTTGAAGTTTAGAATTATAACAGGCAATCTCATTGGCTTGCACAGGATTCTGAGGGGGCTTGACAGGTTGGTTGCTGAAAGGATGTTGTCCATTGTGGGAGAGACTAGAACTAAGGGATGCAGTTTAATAGGTATCCCATTTAATTTGGAGGTGAGAATTTTTTTCTGAGGGCCATGAGTCTGTAGAACTCTGTTCCCCAGAGTGTGATGAAGGCAGGGCCATTTAATTTTTTTTTAGGTAAATTTACATTTTTAAACGAGGGGGCCATACAATATTGGGACTCGGCAGAATTATGGAGCTAAAGCCACACTCTGATCGGTCATGATCTTATTGAATGGTGGAGCAGGCTCAAGGAGCTGATTGGTCAACTCCTGTTCCTAATTCGTATGTTCATATGTATGATCTATGTTTGTTCATAGGTATGATCTCTGTGTGCTTCCACCCATTTAAGGTCCAGTTCTGAACAAATTACTGAAGTAGAAACCAACTTTGAATTCTGTGTCAGAACATTGAATTCTGTCCTTTTCCTCTTTCAGCAGTTTGCTGTTTATGTTCATGTGTGTAAATGCAAACTGAGGAGGCTGAAGCATTCACAACAATCTTCAGCTAAAAGTGCCAAGTGGATCATCCGTCCTTCCCTCCTCCAGAGGTCTCCATCACCACAGATGCCTGTCTGCGGCCATTTCAATTTGTTCAGCATGTTATCATTTGGTGGCACAGGTTACTGCAATGACTGTGGGGCCCTGAAGACATTCCTATAATAATAGTCAAGACTGTGCTCCAGAACTTAACATGACCTGAGCCAAGCTACTTCCAGTACAGCTACAACACTGGCATCTACCTAATAATACAATAAATTGCCCAGATATATCCAGTACATAAAAAGCCAAGTACCACCCCATCAATCTACTCCTGATCATCAGTAAAATGATGAAAGGTATCATCAACAATGATATCAAGCAGCTCTTACTTAGCAATAACCTGTTCAACATCATTCACAACTCCTCATATATGGAAACAGTCCATGTTCAAATGCAGCAAGACCTAGTCAATATCCAGGCTTGGGCTGAACAGTGACAGATAACACGAATGTCAGACAATGACTATCCCTGATGAAAGAGAATCTAACCATCACCCTGTGACATCCAATGGTATCACCATCACTGAATCCTTCACTGTCAACATCCTTGGGTTACCATTGCGCATAAACTGAACTCTACTCGCCATAAAGGTACTGTGACGACAAGACCAGGTCAGAGGCTAGGAATTGTTCAGCGAGTAATTTGCCTCCTGACTCCCCCAAGCTTATGCACCATATGCAGGCCACAAGTCAGGAGTGCGATGGAATACTCTACATGTTTGGATAGGTGTGAATCCAAAAACACTGAAACTTGACACGATCCAGGATAAAGCAGCCCTGTTAGTTGGCACCACATCCACAAACATCCACACCCACCACCACCGATGCTCCATAGCAGCAGCGTATACCATTTATAAAATGCACTGCAGAAATTCACTAAGGCTCTTGGACAACATCTTTCACACACTCAACCTCTTCCAAGTAGAAGAACAAGAACAGGAGATGCATGGGAATGCCACTGCCTGTAAGTTCCCCTGAAAGCCACTCATCATTCAGTCTTGGAAATGTATCACCTGTTCTTTCAGAGTGACTGGGTTAAAATTCTGGAATTCCCTCCCTAATGCACTGAGGGTCCACCTACAGTAAATGGACTGCAATGATTCAAGAAAACTTCTCAAAGGCAACTAGGGATGATGATAAATGCTGGTCTAGCCAGCAATGCCCGCATCCCGTGAATATTTTTTCTTTAAAAATCTGAAGTATTTTAAGGAGCTTGTAAAGTATCTCCACAGAAATCACTCAGTCCCACAGTTGGTCCTGTCAACCTACAGTTTCAATAACACAATTTTTTGATAATATTTTTAGTTTTCTTATCTGTCCTAACAATGTCATTTATATAATAGCCAGCAAAAAACTCCAGCTTGATGACTGCCAATGGTTTGGTATGCAGCTAGTATTTTGAAATACTTATGCTGGCTGCTTTTGCATTTAATTAGCTGTGTTTTCAGGTATAGGCCCAATTGTTTTTTCCCAGTCAGCTTTTATTCCCCACCTACAGAAGACAGTGACAGAATCTGGTATTTGATCCAATTGGTGGCTGGCAGCCATCCATCCGTGTGCCCACTCTTAACCTGTGGTTCTAGAGGGTTATCGATGGACTATTCCAATTCGGTTGCCATGCAATTGCGTAGCACTTGGAGATGAGGAATGGGGCTGAAACAGACAGTATTCACAAAGGAGGGTACAAACAACGTTCCTAAATAGTGATAATCTAGATAATCATAACAGTAATATGAAAAATCTAGAAAGGATAACAACGAAAATTAGATGGTCGTGGGTGTTGTGGTTGGACAGACAAAGGAGATTGAGTTGATAATTTATTCAGATCATGCTAATGATTAGCTTTCGAAAGGAAACCGGTCAGATCGCACCAATTCTGGTCACCATGACAGGGCGACAGTCAGATGTGGCACAAAAGCTTTTGGTCACAGTCTGAATTTTAAGCAAAAATTTAGAGTAATTATTGCAGGAATGTTGAAGGTGTGCAAGGTAGTAACTTTTTTCTGGAAAAGGCAAATCTGTAATGTTACTTTAAATTAAATGACAGGAAAGCGGGACACTAGTTCAAGCTGATCCAAGCTGAGGTTAGGGCCGAAAGAACTGTGGATGCTGTAAATCAGAAACAAAACCAGAAGTTACTGGAAAAGCTCAGCAGGTCTGGCAGCATCTATAAAGAAAATATCAGAGTTAACTTGTCGGGTCCAGTGAGGACCAGTTCTGAGGAAGGGTCACTGGACCCGAAAGGTTAACTCTGATATTTTTCCACAGATGCTGCCAGACCTGCTGCGCTTTTCCAGCAACTTCTGTTTTTGATCATGAGGTTAAGGGCCACTATCCAGATAACCTCCATATAAAGAGTGAACGATGAGACAATACATATATTTATACAATAGCAGAAAGGTCAGTCTGACATCATTTGGGAAGATAATAGATGCTGCAGTAGAGGGGAAAGTGTGGAGTCTATGTAGATGTTGAACTACATTGGGCTAATAATGTCTTCATTGATCTTTACTTGGTTACTTTGGTACATCCCAGTGATCAAACTGGATACTTCCCCTGTCTGTTTAACCATGTTCACACTGTAAATTGCATTTTTGTGACTGGATCAGCACGTCAATGATAGTTGTCCTTTCTGTACTTTTGTATTTTCTTGTTTCATGGCATTGCTGGTACTGATCACCATCGCCAGTTTGAAAGGACTTGATTTTCTGTCAGATACTACTGCATAAGTTGTTGCTAAGATGTATGCTTCAGAGCTTAAGAGTCAATGGGGGAATTCTGCTATAAAAACTATCTCTGGTACTTGGCTAACTGAACACTTGCCCATATAATTTTCTCACTATTTTGTTAGCTCCACATCTCCTTATATACAAATGTGGAAAATCTTTGCTAAAATGAGCTTACATGAACCAAATGGTCACAGATTTTCTTTTTTACCCTGTTTGTCCAGACAAATTGCATTTCTTATAATTGTAACTATGTATAGTACTTAAAGTAGATGCATTTGAAGTTATTAGTTTACTAGTTTCAGCATAGCATTTGTTTGTGTTACAGCTAAATATCTGATATCAGGAGGTGTAAATTGGAACTTGAAGTACTGATTTGCAAAATTATACAAATTGCATTTTTCTGTATGTGTGTGGAAATCGACTGTTTACAGTATTTAGTTGACTTCTCATTTCACAGTTTGTTGAGAGTCATTTTATTAACTAGTCAGCTGATGTACTATTTACATTTTTTTCCTAATTCTCGGGGAAATGAGCCATGAAGTAAGTGTAAAGGCTGAATCAAAAATTCATGCAATTTTAAACTGCACAGCGAAGTTGCTGGAAAACTAGTGGTGTTTTGTCTTTTAATATTTGGCATTGGTTCTTAAAATGGAATACCGAAGACGGTTTGTGCTGGCCTCAAGTCAGTGCTTTTGACAAGTTAGGCCCTATTCATGAGATGATGAATTTTATTTCCAATGATTTCAGTATAAAATGAAAGCTTCCAGTGGTTTTGAAAAAACTCAGAACTTTATTTATTGCCTTTTAGAATCCCTGCAGTATGGAAATTGGCCATTCAGCCCCACAAGTCCACATAGACTCTCCGAAGAGCATCTCACCCAGACTCACCACCCCTCTCCACCCACCCACCCAAACCCCACTATCCCTGTAACCCTGCATTTCCAATGGCTAATCCACCTAACCTACACATCCCTTGACACTATGGGCAATTTACCATGGCTAGTCCACTTAACTTGCTCATCTTTGGACTGTGGGAGGAAACCTGAGCACCCAGAGGAAAACCATGCAGACACAGGGAGAACGTGCAAACGCCACACAGACAGTTACCCAAGGGTGAAATCGAACCTGGGTCCCTGGTGCTGTGAGGCAGCAGTGCTGTTGCCATATAACAGTCCATTCTTGTGAATTGCTTCTGTCAGTTTAAACAATTGCCCACAAGTTTAGATCATACTGTCAAGAATCTTGCCAACTCTTTCATTGCATATCAGACACATTTAGAACATACAGCACATGAACAAGCCATTTGGCCTCACCAATCCTTACCAGTGTTTCTGCTCCATCATCCTTGCTCATCTTTTTTGGTTCTCACCATCATGTGCTTCTGTGGCATCCCCTCAAATGCATCTATGTCCCAAGTGAGGTAATAATGTAGATGCCCATATATTGTGTCATAAAAATCATCGGCTGATTTGACCAGTGCAGATTAACAGTGACAAAACATATATGTTTCTCCAGAATGAATGTGATTTTCATGGAAATTGGTCCTTTTCACAGTTAATTTCTATCTCAATTGAAAGTAAGAATGGCCTTAAAATTCTCTTTTTGCAAATTTGCATTCATAATGTTTCTGCATTTCATTAATTGAGTTTCAATTATTTTCCTCAGGTTTAAAGTCTTGGCAAATCAGCATATGTCAATGTATCCTAATCTGGAAGTTGATGTGGAAGGAGAACTGGAAAAGCTTCGGGTAAGCTGATCAGAACTTAGCTTCATTGTACATTGTTCTTATGATTATACCAGTAACCAATTGCAATGGCTAATTATTGATCGTAATCAAACAAGATTTTTAGAACAAATGAAAGAGACCAAATGCTTATCTTGATCTGGTCTAAAAGTTCAGTATAGCTGAAGAGTAATTATAAAGTTGCCGAGTTGTCATTCCGGATCCACACCCAAAACACTCTGAACAGATCTTCATCCGCATGGTTGTTGGGTTGAGTGTGTTGCGCTGGTCTCAGTTAATGAATGGCGGCTTAGTGTGGTCAAGTGGCATTGTGTAAAAACTCCCTCTTGACTTAGATAATGCACTTGTGCTGAGTTGTTTGAAGATACCGGGAAACACTCAAATTGGATTGGCGTAAGATTTAATCTCACTGGTTTCCCCTTACTGCAGGGAGATGCAAATTAAAAATTTTCAGAACGTGGTTTAGGTTTAAAGTGCCTTTCAAAGAATTCTGCAAACAAAACAATGGGGTTCAAATTAGAAGAGATAAGCAGATTATCTTCTTGACGTTTTAAATTATTGTCAATGCAATTACGTGTTATTTGATGTTTGCCATAACAATGAATAAAGATCAGGAATTAACTGAAAGGAGACTGTCACTCAACTATCCACACTTATACCCCATCAATTTTCATTGCTTTTGTGTAGCACTGATGATTTCAGATTTCACGTTCAAGTTGATAGAATCCAGTTGTTATTGAACTGTGAATTGAATGTTTTTATTTATCAGTGTCTTCTGTGAAAATGATTTAAGTCTTTTCTGGTTTCCCTGTAAGATTTGAACTGGCAGGGAAGCTTTCTTCCTGATGAGGTGGGGACTCAGGCTGGAAAATGTGCAATGAGAAAAAAACCATTGATCCCACAGAGTCTAAGCTTCCACAGAACATGTATGGAATAAGCATAGCAAACACAGGAGGTCTGCTAGCATCTATGGAGAGAGAAACGGTTAACGTTTCAAGTCCGGTATGACTTTCCCTCGGGATAGGGGACTAATATGGACTGGCTGTTGTCCTGCTATGTGGTTTTAATTGTTCCTTCTTATCTGTTGCACCCAAAGTCAGACCTCAACCAACAAAAACCTAAACTTAGGACAGCAAAAATCTGAATGAATAAAGATAACTTCTAAAATTAGATTTCAGGCCCAATCCAAAAGTGTATTTAAAGGCTCACCCTGCTTATGGAGACAAAAGAAAGTTTCTGTATTTTAGTTTCCAACAGATTGATTACAGTTTCACATGTGAAGAAATCAAGCTTAATGCTTGGTGAACTGAACGGTCAGCAATTAACTTAGGTGTATGTTAAATAATTGGTATTGCTGGTCCTAACACAAGAACTTAGGAACAGGAGTAGGTCATTTGATCCCTTGAGCCTGCCCCACCACTCAATAAGATCGTGATTGATCTGATTGTGGTCTCAACGTTACGCTGTGCAGCCATAATCTTTGGCTGCCTTGTCTATTAAAAATTCATCTCACTCAGCCTTAAATTTAAAGACCCAGCACCCAATATCTTCTGGAGAAGAGAATTTCACTCTGTTAATGACCTAGTGAGAGGAAAAAACACTCTTCATCTCTGCCTTAAAAGGGAGACCTTCGTTTTAAAAAAAAAAGTCCCCTCATGGTTGTTTTCCCACACAAGTGAAAATATACTCTATTTAGTCATATCAAGATCTTATGTTTCAGTAAGATCACCTCTCACTCTCATCTGATCTCAGTGCCATTTGTGAGTGTTCTGCAGTCTGTTTCTGGGATGGGGGTGCAGTTATGTGCATGCCTTGCTGCAACCTGGAAACGAGCTTCTAGTTCCTTAAAGAACCTACTATGTTCTCACCACTTCACAGCCTTGTAGATACTTTGAAGAATTCAGACCCAGTTCCAAGGGTCACAGATGTGACAGTAGTAGTATAATATTTCTGGGTCCATAGGAGTGGACAGTGGTGGGAAAAGGTAAAAGTACTTGAAATGGGGTGAGGATGTGCAGCAATTGGGTGTGATAGTGTAGAAACACGAGTAAGGAAAGACCAATAGCATTAGAGCAGGAAAGCTAACTGGAAGGAAGCGCTGAGATGCTCAAATCATTTAGCAGATCCCAGACAGGAGACACTGTGCACTAGAGTTGCTTTTGAGAAGAATGAGTCATTCCGAGTTGAGTAAAACAAATAGGCTTAGAATTATAAGCTTTGTGCTTTCTCTGTCTGGTCTCAGTAATACACAAATAAGAGTGTTGGACACTAGTAGTGGTTCGTTTCTCAGCATTCACTGGATATTGATGTCATCTTCAGGGATATGTGGAGAGAATCAAGCCTATGGTAAGAGATGGAGTCTACTTCATGTACAAAGCTTTACATGGTCCAGAAAAGAAGATCCTAGTTGAAGGAGCCAATGCAGCATTGTTGGACATTGATTTTGGTAAGACACCATCAAATCCCTGGAAAATATACTAAGTAGTTAAAAGAGCTGCATAACTGCAAGTACTACCTTTGGTACAGGATTTCGTTTCTAAGCTCTGGTGTTGTATGAAGTATCTCTACATCATTACTGGAACAGATACCTCTATCTATCTGTCTTCCTTACCCCTCAGAAAGATTAAAAAATTGCACTTCAGTGATATCACAAGGCACAGCATTGTAGAAAACCTTGTTTAAAAAGTTTGTAAAAAGACCTAGATATGGGTGCAGCAATGTACGAGTATATTTGGTAGTTTTTAGACCATTATGATCTTTTAGTAATTTTGTTAAATACTTCTTGGTTTATTCTCTCCTCCTCTCGAGCTTATTTTCTGATTATTGCTATCTTCTAATATGACATTGGTTCCATTCTATGGGCGGTTCAGTGGCTCAGTGGTTAGCACTACTGCCTTACAGCACCAGGGACCCGGGTTCAATTCCAGCCTCAGGTGACTGTCTGCGTGGGTTTCCTCTGGGTGCTCTGGTTTCTTCCCACAATCCAAAAATGTGCAGGCTAGGTGGATTGGCCATGCTAAATTGCCCATAGTGTTCAGGGATTAGGTGGGTTATATGGGGATTGGTCTGGGTGGCATGCTCTGAGGGTCGGTGTGGACTTGTTGGACTGAAGTGTTTCCACACTGTAGGGATTCTATTCAATGTCTGTCAGTTTCTTCTGAATTCATCCTGGTACCTGCAGAACTATGCTTCAGGTACCTCAATTCAGTTTAGGATTAACTTGCATTGCCTTAAAATTAAACTCTTCCTCTTGTAGTTAACAGCCAATGAAACTTGTTATTCTAGAAATACGCTAGCTGTATTTTAGCTAACATTTTCTGGCATGGGTCTTTTATACTTGAAATAGCATTATGCTTGGCACCTGTATATTTTGATTTTTAATTGGTAGGCAGTCATCTAACAACTTGGGAGAATAGTAGAAGGAATGCATATATACAAAGCGTCTTATTCGCGAACTTTACCCTATGGTTCAGCAGAGGCTGATGAAGAATTCCTCTGACCATGGGTTGTAAAGGCTCCTGAGTGAAGGTTTTGGAAAAGGTCTAACCATTTGAGTGCAGATAATCCCACACCAGGAAGCTGCCTTTAAATTGGTGATCTCGTTTGGATGCTATGGGATTGCTGATTCACAAAATGGAAGAAAAATACAGCAGAGGGATAAGGAATATTGGGTGGAGGCAGAGGGGAAGGGACTGTTAATTGGAATGTTTGACCTGCAGAGCTTGATGGCGGTATTGGATTCCTGAAGTGAAAACGATTCCATCCATTAGCATTAACATTCTTCCACTTCCAGAACATAGTTGATCAAAAAAATAGTCACTGAAGGTATCTCCTAGGTCAGGGTAACAGTGGTATCGTGGTAATGTTGCTGAACTAGTAATTCAGAGGCTGTGAACTCTGGTTCAAATCTGACCACAGCAACTGTTGAGATCAAAATTCCATTAATTAGTGGAATCTGGAATTGAAAGCTAGTCTCATTAACTATGAACAAATATTGTAAAAGCATGTTTGCTTGACCAAAGTCTTTTGGGAAGGAAGTAGAATTCAAGTACATTCATAGAATCCCTACAGTGTGGAAACAGGCCATTTGGCCCAACAAGTCCATCCCACCCAGACCCATTCCCCTAATTTCCTGTGTCTAACCCACCTAACCTAAACATCCCTGAACACTATGGGCAATGTAGCATGGCCAATCCACCTACCCTGCACATTTTTGGACTGTGGGAGGAATCTGGAGCACCCGGAAGAAACCTACGCAGACACGGGGAGAATGTGCAAACTCCACACAGACAGTCACCCAAGGCTGGAATTGAACCCGGATCCCTGGCGCTTTGAGGCAGCAGTGCTAACCACTGAGCCACCGTGCAGCCCCCAAAGTCTCCAGTCTTTTCCTGATCTGGCCCACGTATGATTTCTGACGACAGCAATGTGGTTGACTCTTAACTGGTCTCTGAAATGGCAGCAAGCCACACAGTTAAAGGGCAATTAGGAATGGGAAACAAATGGTGGCCTGTAACTCAAATGTATGAAAAAATATAGTTATCCAGTTTCTCCATCAGAGGGCTATGGAAAATAGTGCTGTAATTATAAAAGACCATTTACGAGAAAGTACTTGTGTTTGTATAGTGTCTTTCACATCTTCAGGCTCTTCCAGAGCTTTTCACAGCCTATGAATTATATTGAGGTGTGAAGAAGGTATGTGTCCCTATTTATATTTAAAAGTCATATCCACGCTTGTATGCAGACTTGAATACTGTATACAGCAATGTACTCTTTTTATTCTTTCAAAGGTACATATCCTTTTGTGACTTCATCAAATTGCACAGTGGGTGGTGTGTGCACAGGTCTGGGAATCCCTCCTCAGAATGTAGGAGAAGTATACGGAGTGGTGAAAGCCTATACAACAAGGGTTGGAATTGGTGCCTTTCCGACGGAGCAAGATAACGTAAGCCTTTAAGTCAGTTGGGGTACTCTAACTCTCTTCTCCCCAAAACTCTTGTAATTTGACTGTCTCTTTGTTCAGATTCCCTCGAGTAGACAATCCCACAGCTTACTCTTTTATGAATTTGGCATGTTTTTGCAAAACATAAGAAATTTGAAAGCGGGCAGTTAACTCCTTTCCTCTTAGACTTTATCTCCCCACTGTTGAATTTTGTTCACCTTCTCCTCACTGAGGAATGGTTTGAAAGGTGGTGGCGATTCCAAAGTACCTCAGCCAAATTACCATTCATGGAGCAGTGTTGTGAGGATCTGGGACTGGCTGAGTTTGTGCCGGTTTTTGCCGAACATCTACACGTGTGTGTTGCCAGCAGTGAGTTAAGAATGCAAACCTCACTCAACATTAGTACTACCATCATGTCCACCAATCTGATCTGTAAGAGCTCTCATCCTCATCCTGGCACCCACTGAGAAATCAGAAAAATTACTAAGAATTTTTTGAATTAGATTTTATTGTCATGTGTACTCCAATACAGGAGTACAGTGCAAAGTGTACCATGTCACCATTCCCAGCGCCATCTTAGGTATAAAAGTACCTAGGTACAAAGTAAAAAAAATAAGGAAATAATCTAAAAAAATTCAATATTGCAGTCCTTCTTAAGTGCTTAGCCATTCTAGGCTCACAATCCTCTCAATGGATCGATATCCCCCATGCTCAACATCACCACAGATTCTGGGCTAGCTTTATCGCTGCCATGCTGGACTTGCTGCCTCCTGCGCTGTATCAAAGTCAGCTCATGCCATCGTTGCCAGGTAGAAAGCTTGCCTCAGACACACTGGGCAAATTTTGAGCCACCAAAATCTTCACAGAAGGTAAGTAGATTAAAGGGAAAAAAATGAATGGAGAAAAAATAGTAAGAGCAGACGAGCTCCGTGCAGGAGCCTGCATGCTGCGCTGCTACTCTGCCGCCATCTTAGTTACTTATTTATGGAATTTATGTCCCATCAATTCATTAAGTGGCGTCTTGGCTTTCTTCAGGTTTTGCAAAGCAAATTTTTTGACATTGTAACCAAATTAGCAATGAATCATTGTTTAAAGTCTAGTTTTTAAAATTCAAATTCAAGATGAACCTGATGCATGAGTGCTTTTTAAAAAAAGACCTTGAAATAATCAAAGTGAACTTTACATTTTCTGTATTCCATACAATTTCTGGAAGTGGCATTATGTGTTTATGCGTTGACAATAAGGGAGAACAGACCTAATCTCTGCAGATTGAGGGTTGGTGGGGGGTGGTGGTCACAGAAATGAGATCTCCTTAAATTCCGGCAATACTGGCATATACAATCACGGACTCTAACACCGTCACGGACACACGCGCACACCATCGACTCATTAATATTACTGTCAAAAGTAATGTCTTCACTACTAAGGCAAGTTGTCCGCAACTCAGTTGCCTGTCTTTATGATGATTCTGCTGGTAAGTAAGCGCACTGTGATGCTTCATTCCATGTTTTGTATGGCCTCCATAATATTGTAAAATATCAGATTGAGCTTTCTGTTTCCTATTTATTTTTTTACGCTGTATTGAAGTGCTTGGTTGGAGTCAGTGAGGAATAGCTGCAAGAGTCAGGATTGTGTTTCATTGTTGCTGACTCAAAAATTCATTGTGCCTCCCTAATAACTGATCTGGGATTGATAAGTGCTTGTTGTAATTTTATAGGATATCGGTGAATTACTGCAGTCTCGAGGATCAGAAGTAGGGGTCACCACAGGTCGACAGAGGAGGTGTGGCTGGCTGGATCTAGTCTTGCTGAAGTATGCTCACATGATCAATGGATTTACTGCGTAAGTAACTTCAAAGATTGATTTCCTTCTTTGGAAACAGAAACTTTAGTAATCAAGATTGTGAACAATTTAAAGTTGAAATATATTTGAAATAGATATAATTTTGAGTTGAAATGCACCTGGTTCTTAATGGTTTTGGACGTGAGGAGTACTTGGGAAGATTTTAACGCTGCTTTCTGATTTATTCCTTGAGTAGTTTAGCACTAACCAAATTGGACATCCTGGATGTATTTGCAGAGATTAAAGTCGGAGTGGCCTACAAGGTTGATGATAAAATAATACCTCATTTTCCGGGTAAGTGAATTTTTTTAAATTCCGGGAAAGTGGGTTTTGCTGGCTGGGTCACTGCCCTTGAGAAGGTGGTGGTGAGCTGCCATCTTGAACCATTGTAGCCCATGGGGTGTAAGTAGCCAAGCAGTATTGCTAGCGTGTGAGTACCAGGATTTTGACCCAGCAACTCTGAAAGAATCATAATATATTTCCAAGTCCAGGTGGTGAGTGCTTGGAGAGAAACTTTCAGGTGGTGGTGTTCCTAACTATCTGCTTCCCTTACTGTTCTACATGGAAGTGGCCATGGGGTTTGGATGGTGCTATCTAGGGAGTATTGATGAATTTCAGCGGTGCATTTCATGTTTGGTACGCACTGCAGTTACTGAGCGCCAGTGGTAGAGGGAGTGAATGTTTGTGGATATTATGCCAATGAAGTGGGCTACTTTGTTCTCAATGTTATCAAGCTTCTTGTGTTGTTGGATCTGCACTCATCCAAGCAAGTGGAGAGTATTCTGTCACACTCCTGACTTGTGCCTCGTAGATAGTTACAAGCTTTGGGGAGTCAGGAGTTGAGCTGCTTGCTGCAGGATTCCCAGTCTCTGACCTGTTCTTGTAACCATTGTACTTGTATGGTTAGTCTAGTTCGATTTCTGGTCAATGGTAATCCCAAGATGTCGATAGTGAGGAATTCAGCGATAGTAATGCCATTGAATTTCAAGGCATGATGGTTAGATTCTGTCTTGTTGGGTGAGTATTATTGCCTGGCAGTTGCATGGCATGAATATTACTTGCCACTTATCAGCCCAAGCCTGGATATCGTTCAGGTCTTGCTAAAGTACGCTACGGACTGCTTCAGGATCTGACAAGTCTCAAATGATGCTGAACACTGTGCAAATTCTGTCTGTGCCATGTGTTTTACATTACAGCAGCTTCATTGATTCTTAGAGCAGTTTGGAGCGATACTATATATAAAAATGTGCGTGTGTATGTCCCATAATTTCAGTTAACCAGCACACTCTTGCCACGTACCAAGGCTTCAAAGAATGATAATGAAATGCTCCCAATGTTTCAGAAATCTAAACCACTCCCCACCCACACCAATTCTCCAGTCACATGTTGAATTGATCAATATTTCTATTAGTATGCTCATTAGCACGTAGCATTGGGAATAATCCTGAGGTTAATGCTGTTGAGATCCTGCTGTTTAATTTCCTTCTAACTCGCAAAATCTGTTAAGAGGACCTTTTTCCTCTTCCTACCTATTACATTGGTACCAACGTTGACCATGATCTTTAACTATTCACCTCCCCCAGAATGATTTCCTGCAGCTACTCCAGGACATCCTTGATCCTGTTACTATGGAGGCAACACAACATCCTGGAGTCCTGTTTACTGCTGCAGAAACAATTATCTCAACTCTTGACTACAGATCACTGTGGCTCTTATACATTTCTTCCTCCACTTAAGTACAGATAAATCATCCATGATGTCATAGTTGTACAGCGTGGAAACAGGCCCTTTGGTCCAACTTGTCTGTGCCAACCAGACATCCCAATCTGACCTAGTCCCATTTGCCAGCAATTGGCCCATATCTCTCTAAATCCTTCCTATTCATATGCCCATCCAGATGCCTTTTAAATATTGTAATTGTACCAGCCTCCACCTCTTCCTCTGGCAGCTCGTTCCATACATGCCCCACCCTCTGTGGAGAAAGCTACCTCTCAGGTCCTTTTTAAATCTTTCCCCTCTCACCTTAAACCTATGCCCTCTAGTTTTGGATTTCCCACTCTAGGAAAAAGACCTTGGCTATTCACCCTATCCATGCCCCTCATGATTTTGTAAACCTCTATGAAGTGGCATAGACTTGACTCTGACTGCGCTTCTTGGAGGACCAGTTGATCTCACCAGTGTACAAAACAGAAGGTCAATGAACAAATACGATTGACACTGCAGACTCCTGCATTGCATGCCTAGTTCTCCTGGATTGTCTCATGGGACATCCATTCCCAACCACCAACCCCCCACCCTCCTGTAAGTTCCAACCTGTGCTGTGAGCACATCTCTAAACATGCTATCCATGAGTTTCTCTGTCTTGTGGATGTCCACAGTGACTCTTGTCACACTCGAGCTCTGGAACTTGGAACTCAAGCTTCTGTAGCTGGTGTCACTTCGTACAAACGTGTTCATCCAAGACACATTGGAAAGCTGTGGATGCACACGTTCTGCAGAATGTGCATTTTTCTTAGCCAAGTTGACCTGTCACTGTAACTTGTAGACTGTTTATTACAATTAGAACAAGTAGAAAATTTTTTCAGTTACTCACCAATAATCAGCTTCTTCACCTGGTACCAAATTAGGAGCTAATTACTGGAAGCTGAAAAGGGTTGAAAAAGAAAGGAGCAACCCCTTACCCCTTTCGCCAAACTAACTTTTCAAGCACTCATTTTACACTGTGTACTTAAAGTAGCACCTTGTTAACACCACAACAGCACTGAAGAAGGCCTCCCTTTGAGCTTCATTTGAAAAGAAACTAATTCAAGCTTCTGAAAACATGTTTAAGCCATTCCCCTCGTAAGCTGGCTGCAAGCTGCTCTCAGGCAACTTGCAGAGCCCTGTTTTAAGGCTAGAATAAGAGAAAACTTCTCTTAGAATAATTGTTGATTAGTTTCTATATTGGGGAAAATAAATAGACTTTAGATCAAAATTTACCCTTAAAACACTCTGGCTCACCAGTTCCTGGAATGGAGTAGTAGGCGTTTGGCCCGTTGTTTTTGTGCTTTGATTGAACTATACAATTAATGCCACTTTTCTCTTTCACCTTAGCTCTGCAAATATTTTATCCCTTCCCAAGTATTTATTTGCTTTTTTCATTTGCAAGTTACTATTAAATCTGCTTCCGCTGTCCTTTCAGGCAGTGATCGTAACACTCGTGCAGATTTTAGATTGGTATGCTGTTGTGGTACTGAGGGAATGCTGCAATGTTGTGGTCTCCCCACACCTCACCCCCTCCCCCACCCCAAAAAAAGGGTGTCGAACTTAATTATCCAAGATGATAGGTGACCAGGATTTGGTCATTTATTTAGGGGTGAAGCAGTAGCGGTTTGCTCACTGTTTGCCAGTGAGGAGTATGTTGAAACAGTGATGTCTAGAGAAGTCAAAAGTATGGATAAGGTTTTCAGCACTGGATTGGCTGAGGCATTAAATCTGATTTGGAATTCTGCTGCATTAACGTAAATCATAATTGAGAATTGGCTGTTGGTACCTGAGCTCCAGCGTGTCATCTGCAGGACGTTGAGTAAATGCAAGATTCTTCCTAAAGGATACTGGAGCATGAAGTAATTTGACTGTATTGCACTGACCTTAGTATCAAAATGACTGTGCAGTTTTCAGTATCACCAAGGTCCAAATTTGCAAGCTGGAATATACCATAAATCACTGAAATGTTAAGAGGACTTTTTTAATCATCATAACTTCTAAGTTTGTTTCGTTTTCATTAAAATGGCAATGTATCAATTGTTTCCCAGCTAACCAAGAGGTTCTGAACAAGGTAGAAGTTCAATATGTGTCTCTACCTGGCTGGAACACCAGCACAGCAAAATCAAGAACATTTGAAGATCTGCCAGCAAATGCACAGAACTATGTGAGGTTCATCGAAGGACATCTTGGTGTGCCAGGTAAGTATTACAGTCACCAAGTGTCACATCTCTCAAGTTACTGAAAAACGCAAGGTAGCCACAAGTTACTTCCAAGAATTATAACTTGATGCCTTTTCTTCGAATCACACTGTTTGAGCATGTTTTGGCACACCTCATGGTCGTTACATCTGAGGTGGGTCTTGAACCTGGACCTCTGGCCTATTTAATACCTGGCTGTTGAGATGTATTTAAAGATGGTATTTTTAACAAATTTGTTCTGGCATATTATGACACATCTCTGGAACAGGTGAGCCTTGAACCCAGGTCTCCTGGCCCACAGGTAGGAGCACTCCACTGCACCACAAGAGCCCTGAGATGTATTTAAACATATATTGAGGTTTTCATTAATAGTAATGGCTGGTGTGCTTTCATCCATTATATTGAGCTGTCTTGAGCTTATCTAACATTGGGCTGAAATGTGGGGAGGGCGTTACTCCAATCTCCTACCATAATTCCAGCAGAAGACCAGTAAAACACCACCAGTTGGGTTGGGTCAGTCCGTTCAGGAACTTCCTCTTTGCCTTATAAGCTGTTCACAATAAAAATGACAACAGGAAAAAGAGCCTTAAGTAGGGACTATCTGTTTCTGAGTCTGGAAGGGGACTTAGCATTGCAGCCATCAGTTCTACACTGAGTGAGTGGACTTGCTGAGAGGTTAGACCACCTTCTGACCTTATATCTGTCCCGTGCCCTCCTACAGGCTCTACACTGGTGTGCACTATTGGACATTCTCCCTAGTGCAATCCCAAACAGATTTCAACCATTAGAGACATTGGAACATTTTGTTATAAAATTCCTGTGATTGTCAAGTAAAGCTGTCATTTTGTGTAACCATTTCTCTTTGATCTTCATGTCAGAACCCAAAACAAAGATCATTGTGATTCTGTATCAGTTCAGATTTTACTGATGTATCTACACAGCAACAGAACTTGGATTAGAAAATGTGAGACAACCAGCAAAACTGTGTGTAATTATAGTGATCTCCCTCCCTGTGTTGGAGTGGCGATCGCTAAATTGTCAGCGTTTAGAGGAGAGAATCCTGACACTTTTGTGATATATATTAATTCTGTAACTGACATACTTCAGTGACCTGTGGCAAAACCAACATTTACTGGAGGCACAAGGGTCACTTCTAGCCCATTCTTATTCTTTCCCTTTTGTTATTGGGTAATGACGTATTTTGGATGATTGGCTTTCTTAA